GTTCATATTGAGGGTATGGATGTCCATAATGTTAATCGAAGGTGCAACGACCTTAAGTCACTCCGAAAGGTTTAGAACGTGATTCCATGAGTCTATTTTACTCTACCGAGCCGCGCTATAGCCGGCCGGGTATGACACCTATTGTGCAACACTAATCAGTTGGGTTTACCGAGCTCCACGTGGCCGGGTATGATTCTATTGAGCCTTATGATGGCCGGATACATTTTTACCGAGTCTTCTTTGAGTCCGGGTACGATATGATGATGATGATGCCCACAAAGGCGTATGTTTTTAAAAGTTTATGTATATATATATATATATGTATTATGCATTTCATGTCAGTATCCCCCAGAGGCACTCAGATGTTATAGGTTGTATCTCCTTTATCTCTCTTTACATTAATGTTCTTGTTTATGCTTTCCTGCCTTACATACTCGGTACTTTATTTGTACTGACGTCCCTTTTGCCTGGGGACACTGCGTTTCATGCCCGCAAGTCCCGATTGATAGGTTGACAGTCTTCCTAGTAGGCTATCAGCTCAGCGGAGGTGTTGGTGCACTCCACTTGCTTCGGAGTTGCCTATTTGGTCAGTATGCTTTGGATATGTATTGATTGATATGGCGGGCCCTGTTCCGACCTTTATGATTTTATGTACTCTTAGAGACTTGTAGACAGATGTCATATATATGAAAATTGTATGGCCTTATCGACCTATGTTCAGTGTACGAGTGATCACTTTGGTTTTATAGGCACGTATGTCACATGTATAAGTTTCCATGTCAGGTCAGGTCGTCCAATATTTAGTATTCCCTTATATTTTATTTTTGTTATCTCATGACGACCTTTCTAGGACATTTACCCATGATATTACGATATGACAGATATGTTATGTTGGTACTCGGTTGAGTACGGCATCGGGTGTCCGTTGCGGCACTTCGGTTTGGGTCGTGACATCCCCTCCCCCCTCAAACTTTTAATTTAACCCCTAGGCTTTTTAAATTACACTTTGATCCAATTTTAAACTATAAGTACCCCATCCTTCTTCATTTTTTTCCACAAAAGTTCTCAAATCTCTTATATTCTATCTATATTTTTCTCACAATCAACTATATTTCAAGTATTTGAGCAAAATTTTGGAGCAACTTTCAAGCTTCAAATTAATTCGTTTGGAGCAATGTTTTGAGCAATTTCTTTAAGTTTCAATATTTAATCATAGTGCACTCGTTCCATTTTCTAATTTTAATATTTAATATTTGCGTATAATTTTAGTGCTTATATTTTGTGTTTACCTTACGTGTTCTATTTTCGTATTTTATTTGTGTGTTTAATTGTTGTGTTAACTTTTCTAATTTATTTTCATATTTAAATTATGGCTCATAAAAGTGTATTTGGCATAACCGATCCATTTTAAAAAAATAGTAAAAAAAGTAGTAAATGTGCTAGTTGTAGTAATCCTAATCTTAATCCTTCTCCTAGAATTAGAAAACATATAGATGAAATGACTCATGCTGATAAAACTTTATTTTTCCAACCCCTGCATTTTATAATATTAATTTAGAAAAACAACTAGATCATGAAACTTTACAAAGACAATTTGGCAATGATATTTTTAATGGGAAAGAAGAAAATGAGGAAGAAGAATTAGATGAAACACCCACTAGTCTAGTAACATAAGTTCCAACTCAGAGTCAATATCGGTTTGGAGCTTTACCTCATGTACCTCCTGTAGGGATAAGGTTAAGGTTAATCGTACGAAAACATCACTTGTATGAATTTTTTTTGAATATGATAAAGTCAACGAAGTTGCTATATGTGCAAAATGTAATGCACGATTTGCACATGGAAAATCAGGTGGGGTGCGAAAAAATTCCGGATCCTAACAGCGGTATTGGCGCTCCTACTGGATCTGGCGGGATTCTAACTTTTTCCAACAACAGCTTCGCCCTGCTTCTGGTAGTATGATACGCCCCTAAAACAAAGATAGAGATTGTGAAAATTTAGCAAAAATGATAAATATGTGTGGCTTACCTTTTATTTTTCCTTCTCAGCCTGCCTGCTTTTCAAGATTTTTCTAACACCACAGTTAGAAATGATACTTTTATTCATTGTGTATTTTTCCACTTAGACCGTAAAATGTCTATCACATTTGATATAGGTCGTAGTCCTAATGGTAATGCTTATTTAACGGTTACATTTCATTGGGTTGATCATCACTAGAACATGCAAAAACGTATTATTGATCATAAATTTGTTGCTTCAAAACACATTGGAGCATATATTGCAACGAATGTTCTATAAATAGTTGATTTTTATCGGCTCGTCGATAAAGTTTTAACTACATATTAGATAATGCTTCTGCTAACACCACTGCAGCAACTAGCTTAAGAGCTAGACTTTGTCCAATTAATCCAGAAATTTTTCATGTTACATGTGCATGGAATATTTTTAAATTGATTGTAAAAGATGGTATTAATTTATTTTTTGAGGCTTGTAATAAAGTACAACATGCTTACGGCTATATTTTTCGTGCTAATCAAGCGAGTAAAATTCGTGAGTTTAGACAACAACGTTCTAGTACTGACCTTCCATATAGAAAAATTCCAAAATATATTTATACTTGGTGGAATTCTACTTATGAGATGCTTAAAGTTGCTTATGATTATCGGGTGACTATACATAAGGTATTTAATATACATAATGGTATCCTCGCTGATCAAATTGTTGAGTCTGATTGGGATGAGATCAAAGAGCTTACTAAATTTTTAGAAAATTTGTATTATGCTACAAAATAATTTTCTTGTATATATTATCCTACTTCTACACAAATATTACGGTATATTTATGGATTTTTTGTTGTATTTGGTAAGTATAAAATAAATCAAACTTATGCACTGGCCGTTAATGAAATGATTGCAAAATTTAAAAAATATTTTTTCTTATTCCCCAAGTTTATTTAATTTCTACTCTACTTAGCCTATCTTTAAAATTAAGAGGTGCAAATGAACTTATTCGTAAAATTTATGAGAATTTAGAAATTCAAGAAAATGAACAACCATCTCTCGAAGACTGCAAGCTAGCATATATTCTTATGCTAGATCAATATTTAATAGTTATAAATCTATGACAACAGCAGATGATGAAAATGCTCCTACTGCTTCTAAGGCTAGCGTAGAAGTTCTATGGGAAAGGATGAAGGATATAATGGGTCTTGATTCCTCTATTGACGATGAACTTGATTCTTATCTTATTCAGGGATTGGAATGTATTAAAGACGAAAAAGGCAACAAACAACTTTTTGCATGGTGGAGGGAGCGTGGCAAGGCATTTCCAATACTTTCAATAATGGCCTGAGATATACTGGCTATTCAAGCATCATCAATAGCATCGGAGAGTGCTTTTAGCGCGATAAGATTTCACATCAAAGATCATAGACATTCATTAGCGGAGGACAGCCTAGAGATTTTCGTCTTATTCAAAGATTGGATTAATTCAGAAAGAAGAAATCTTGACTTTGAAAAATTAACCACTAGGGAAGAAGAAGAAGAATGACGGCATGGAACTCATGGAACATCAAGCAACATTGTCAATTCCAGAACAATGATCGAGAGAAATTATAGATCAGTTACAGCGAAGCCATATAGGAGCTTACAAATATTAGTATGATAATTTGTAATTAGCTAATAAGAGGCCTAGTTCAAACAGAACCCTTCATAGAAAGTGGCTGCATAGATTAGGTGCTCTTCAAAAGACTTGTATATGTATGTGAAATTTGAAAGTTCTATTAATAAAATAAAAGGATTTAGCCTTGTTTTTTTTATTTATGAATTGTCTTACTTAGTTACTTTATAGCTTGAGATTATATTAAATAAATTACAAGTTTATTATAATTACTCAAATATTTTTTGTTGCAAGTCTTTTGTTTTAATATTTTATAATTCTTTACTTAGTTTTTTTTATAATTTATTAAGTTTATGTTTATTAAATAAGTAAAAAAACTAGCCTTTGCAAACTTTAAAAACTTAGTCATTGTCAACTTTTAAAAAAATAACCGTTGCTATCTATAAAAAATTAGTCGTTGCCAAATTTAATGCTTAAATATTTAAAAGATTTTTTTAAAAAAAGTCCACTCAAGGCCCACGTACCGTTTCATCCCGTCCTGTCCCATCCAGTTTGTTAATGGGATGGGATGGGCATACCGGGTCGTCCCGTTTAAGGCCCGTCTCGCTACCGTCCCGGTCAAATGCCGTCTCATCTCGATAATTTGGTCTCTTCCCGTCCCGACCCATCCCGTTTGACAGCCTTTAACCTGCGGTAAAAGCAACATGTCAAAAGTTAGGAAACACAAGGAAACTTATAGAAGGATATCTGGTAACTTTTTAACAATATGGGTATTTGGAAATTTGATGGTCCATGCCTCAAAATTTTAAATTCCTGGTGCAACAAAAATACAGTCAAATCTCTCTATAACAGTCTCGTTTGTTATGATATTTTTGCTGCTATAGTGAAGTGTTGTTATAGAAGACATATATTAAAACATAACATAAAAACCGATACTGAAAAAACTTGGCTTTTATAGTGAATGACTATTATATAGAGATGTTATAGAGAGTTCTGATGGTACCAAGTTAAAACCATGTCTAGCTTTGTCTAACTTCCTCTTTTTCCAAATAACTTTCTAACTGCAATGATAACGAGATAAAGTATGCGGAGATTAGTATCACCAGAAATTATTATAACCTCACGTTATTTGGTCACTTATCATCATCCGAGAGCTTTTATACGTAGTCAGACTTGCATTCCTTTATACTGGTCTCTTATATCACAAATGGTCAACTAAACAAGTCTAAACTAACTACTCTATTCCTACCTTTACTTTGTGTTCCATGTTAGAATTGGGGTATATTACTGTCTTAAGTAATCAGATGACTAGATGATCTCCATAATCTAATTAGATAGAAATTTCACATCATGCTACCAAGAACCTGTTATTTTCATAGTACAACTACTATCCAGCCAGTGCCGTTTACACTATGTATATAAGGTCAAATATTTTTCACCATGTACATATATAAGATGTTGAATCCCCTTATCTTTTTCGCGTGTTTACCTTTATAATTGTTTGAATCCCCTTGGTGAAAATACTGCTTCTGCCACTACCTGCTACCTCCCACTAGCACAACTACCATGGAACAATGTCCATCAGAGCTTAGACAGATGACGCCATATCACGTTCACCGTCAGATAAAAGAGGAATGCTTACCTGTCACAAAACTGGCAGCAGATGGAACCAATGAGGTCCAAGTCAAGCACTGGTATTTTTTGTAAAAATAGCTGCAAAACTGCTATTAAGATAGCTTTGCATAAGAAATTAGTACCATGTTCAGGTGAAATCTTAATGCAAAACTGCTAAAAACCAATCAGGTCTAAGCCAAGCACTGATATCCATAAAAATTGACAATTGTAGATCATCTCTTCATTGGAGTCGGTTTTTGGTGAAAACATCTGGCTATTAATATAGCTTTACATAAGAATTAGTAGTACCATGTACAGGTGAATGGAATTGGTCTCTCAGATGCAAAAGCAGTTTACACCAAAAGAATATTTAACCCGTTAACCCTACCTCTTTAAACCATATGTACTCTTCTACCCTTAGAGGGGAGAAGCATTCCTAACTTTGTTTTCAAAAGAAGAAACTTTGAAGGAACGGAAAGGCCATGTTTCATCAAGAATTCCTCCAACACTTTAAAGTCAACAAAGAATCCAGAATCTACAGGAGGAACTTCAGGGGACAATATGTTGAATCCTGTGGAAACTGGTGCCTCTGAAGGTCCAGAAAATAATCAATCATCATACAGAACGTCCAAATCGAGTGTGCTTTCAATTAACTGAGAAAATCTGCTTACCTCTGTTGACTTTGCAGGGTTAGGATTATATACCTTACCCAAATTGTTAGTTTGGGTAACATTTGTTTCCCAACCAAAGTCAAAATCTTCGAAACTTAGACCAAAATCATTTTCGCCTTGATATCCATGTTGGGAAGTACTTTGGCTATCAGATGATGAAATTTGCTGTCTACATAGGTTAGGTTGGCAAGCATAAGTGTTCTCGTGCCTGCTTCCAGAGGCACTTCCTGTCCTAGCAGGGGAAGGCAAATGGCCATTGCAGGGGATTGAACTTCTAGATGAGGTTCCATCATCTGGATGATTGGACAACTGGGACACCGAAGATTGCTGAGGCAAATTGTTAGTAGAGTTTCCGGCTGCATACAGTTGAGAGAACATTTGGGCTTCAGATGATAATGGGTTATTGTACATATTACCCACCTTTGACTGGGAGGATACTGCATTTTCAGATGAAATAAAACTTTCAAATTCACTTAGAACACTAGGAAGTGTAGATAAGTGAGGTTGAGAAGGTGATGAATTAGCATAGGGTAGAGAGAATGCTGGAGCTTCTGAAGACGCCGAATTTGCACATACACTAACTTGTGACTGAGAGGGTATCTGAGGTTCCATTGGTGCAAAATTTGCAGATGCATCCACAAACCTAGACTGCCTAGGTAATTGAGGTTGGAATAAAACAGCATTTGCACCAAGCATGCCAGCACTGGGCTGGGAGGATATCTCAGGTTCCATCAGTGCATAATTTGCAGATACACCCACAAGACTAGGCTGCCTAGGTAATTGAGGTTGGACAAAAATAGGATTAGCACCAGCTATGCCAGCACTGGGCTGAGAGGGTATCGCAGGCTCCATTGGTGCATAATTTGCAGATACACCCACCAGAGCAGGCTGCCCATGTAATTGATGTTGGGAAGAAACAGCATTAGCACCACGTATCTCAGCATTGGGCTGAGAGCGTATCTCTGGTTCCGTTGGTACATAATTTGCAGAGGCACGCGCAAGACCAGGCTGTTTATGTAGTTGATGCAGTTGACGTTGGCAAGAAACAGAACTAGCACCAAGTATACCAGCATTGGGCTGGGAGGAAGCAAGATATTTATTCGAGCCTACAGGCACCCTGCCATAAAGCTCTTGCCACCTAGCCACTGAAGAATGAGTTCCACCAAATTGAGGCACAGAACTAGCACTGGATGAATTATACCCCGATCTACCAGTTGCCAAAGCCTGTCCAGATGACCCTGCCCTTTTGAACGCTGTTCGGATAGTTAAAAACTGGGGACCCATGTGACTAACATTGTGCCTTTTGTCCCTTGGACTAACGTTAATGCTTGCATTGCGCAACTGTTGAGAGACAACATGGCTATGAAATTTGTCTCTACGATCAGTAAGTTGCTGTCTCGCTAAATTCGGTAACCCAGGACTGCTTGACATAGAACAAGGACGAATTGGGGCTTGTCTAATTCTTTGGTTCTGTGGCGGATAATTAGGTGATCTCCAAACCAAACCTGGAGCTTGGTTAGATACGGGTGGGTGAACAGATACTGAAGTATTAGGGCCTGGAGGGACCGATAAAAGCGCNGAGGAACCAATAAAAGCGGTATATCAATTTTCCTTGTGCTTTGTCTCTGTGATTTCCAATACTTCTCCTTGTCAGTAGCATGACAATGGGCAACACCAGTGCACCAGTAGACACATGGAGCAAGTGTGTCACAAACGTAACAATGGCACTGAAATTAAGAGAATAGTGATCAAGATTACAAATTTTTGCACAAAAAATGGACTTCAAACAAAGGATATAATTACCTGATCACAGTGCCTTTCATGTGGAGTAGAACCAAAGGGATATTTAGCACAAAGATGTCGTGGATGTGGATAATCTCTGCAGGCAATCTGAAAAAAGTAAGACAAGCAGAAGAAATCAATGGCCGAAAAACACCTCCAAACTCCCAAGAGAAAGAATGTAAGTCATATATTGGACAACTGTAAAAACAAATTTTGTAAAAATGTACATGGAACAAACAAGGAGAATTTTCCATTCGGCACTTCTTACTCCGCAGAAAATTGCAATGTTGCTGATTACATTAAGTGCATTAGCCATTGAATAAGTCATCAATGTGTCTTTGTGCATGCTCATAGTGGACACAGCCAGCCTTCATCATGTGGAAAGACCATGCAGGTGAACTATTGCATAAACAACTATTTCAGTATCGATTACAAGTTAAGCAAGCTCGATAGAGGGACAAGGTAAGACATGACTTATGTATTGGTCATTCCCTCAATTACATGGGTTATCTTACTAAGATAAAGGTGCAGACAATCTCATCTCCAGAATGGAAAAATTGTCGAACAGGGGCAGGGGATGTAACGTTATCCACATAATTCATATCAAGGGAAGAAAAAAAGTCGAGAGGTTTGGCAGTCAAAACCCGAATTGATTTAAGGTTACCTTGTTGAAAATGTCCTTTGTCATACTTAGGTAAAAATAAATATGTAATACATTGTATGGAGGGAGGGAGGGAGGGAGGGAAAAAAAGGGAGGGTTGAGCGGAATCTAAAATAAAGTTATTCATCGAATCACGTAACTCCATGGTATGCTCTGATCACCATCTAGCTAACGTGATAGGGAGACTACTATCACTCAGTCAGTTTCACTTCCTAAGGGAACGTTACATGGAAATGGTACAGTTAAAAGTTAACCAAGCTTCAATGTTTGACTTTTTGTAAGAAACACAGTTTATAGCAGAGAGAGATGGCAAGAGTGGACAAAATCCAAACTGATGTAAGGTGCCTACCTTGTATACAATTTCCTCATTACAGGGGTTGGAATATTACAAAATGTTGTATATAAGTGAAATCCAACAGTATGACAATGTCCGTTATGAATTACCAGGGTTCAACTAGAGAGATGATGATATGTCCACACATAACGGAAATAATAAACAGGTAAGGGTGCAGTTCAATTCATCAATGCCATTCAGGCATTCACTGCCAAATATATAAATGGAAGAAGCAACATGATAGACATTCCATGGTATATGTTATTTATCTGTCCGTTCTGATCTTGTCTCTTTGAAGCATAAACCTTAAAGTCACTGAGGCTTGAGCCAGCATTATGGAGACCTCTGACCTGACTTCCCACCAGATAAATGATAGAAGCTTCTTGTCGAGATAAAGGACCCCGTCCTTAAGGGAATCCATTTAACTGCACCCACTTCGGTAGAGGAAATATCAAAAACACATGTTCTACATATGGTGTTGTCTTCTGGTGCTGCAACTGTGGTCCAAATAGAAAATCAAAATCCTTTGGAATCAGACCACCATGATTTCTAGTGTTAATTAAGATAAGTTCCTAAACATAGCGCAGCTAAGGAGTCATCTATCACCTATGTGGCACAAACAAGTCAACTCAAGTCTCTTGCCTCACCAACTCTATCTCGTACCTACTAGATTTTTTTATTCAGAAGCCTAAAACTCTAAAATCAGTAAACTTGCCAAAGACTTTGATTGTTCAATCAATTTAGCAATACATATGTTCTTGTACAGGAACGAGGTATGATATGGAGGCGTGAGTGGACAAGGGCTTTACTTCTCTCTGATAGTTCATCTTCCATGCGCGGCCACTGATGTTCCCTCCTCCACTTATCCATAGTCGTGGACATTCACATCTTTCAAAACTTCAGTGAATGTCTCTTCTAGTGAGCCTTGCCAGCTTTAAGGGGAAAAAAACACATCCTCTCAGATGAATTAATAATCGTGCATATCGATTTGAACTTGTTCATACTAATGAATGGCTAAAAATAGTGAACAGAGAACGACATCAGCTTTACGTCAGGGCCCCCGTCCCTCCTTCCTCCCACTATGATGAGGGTTCATCTAGGCCGAGAACGGGGACTCATAGGAACGAGAGAGGTATACCCCCTATTATTTGCTCACAACTTGTGTTTCACCTACAAAAATAGTCTACGCCCCGGAAAAACTCGAAACAAAGGTGAAGTGGCTGCCAAAGTTAAGGTCTGACCCAAGTACCAGAAAATCCGACGCCCTCTGCGAATTCCACAAGACACAAGATTGCATCGCCCTACGGCAAGAGGTGGTGAACATGTTGCAGCAAGGACGCCTCAAGGAGCTGCTGAGCGACTAGGGAAGGAACACCTTCTCCAGGGGTCGAGAACGTCAAGGCCCACCGAAGCCGCCCTCACATGCCCGCACCATCAATATGATTATTGGCGGCAACGATGATGCCTCCATCAACGGTATCAAGTTCACCACCACTCACAAGCTCAAAAAATCGATCACCCACGAACGGTATGATGGACTCGAAGAAAGTATCATCTTCGACGAGTCAGATGCCGACGGTTTGACTTTCCCTCACAACGATGCTCTTGTCATTACTTTACGAATTTCAGATACTGATGTAAAGCGTATCATGATAGATGATGGGAGTGGAGCGTGCATTATCCAACCTCGAGTTCACGCCCAGATGAGACTCGAGGACAAGATAGTGACACATTGGATCACATTAACCGGTTTTAACAATGCAGGTGAACGGACCTCATGAGAAATTACACTCCTCGTCCTCGCAGGCAGCATAACTCTGGAGACAACGTTCCACATCATGGACCATGCACCGCATACAATGCCATAGTAGGATAACCATGGATACATCCTATGAGAGTCATACCCTCCAACTTATACCAAGTGATTAAGTTCCCAATATACAATGCCATAGTAGGATAACCATGGATACATCCTATGAGAGTCGTACCCTCCAACTCATACCAAGTGATCAAGTTCCCAACACCTTGGGGAATATTCAGCATACACGGGGAACAACGCACGTCTCAGGAATGCTACCGCATCGCCATGGATGGCTCGACGATCCAACAAAAGAAAGATAAGGAAAAAGAAGAATAGCAATCAACAAGGTCGATGTCGACACAAGAAGAGACCAGGGATGTCATCACAGGCCCCGAAACGCTCGAAACTACGGATTCAACTATAGAGGACCTCAAACCCATTCAATTAGATACCTGCAATCCGGCAAAAAGGCCTACATCGGCTGCAAACTTCGAGAACCAGATAAATTTAGTTAATTTTTAATAACTAATGCATATTTGTTTGCCTTCAGCTATGCAGATATGTCGGGCATCCCCAAGGAGATTGCCACATGCAAGTTAAACGTCGACCTATTCTATCCCTCTATAAGGCAGGTCAGGCGGCAAGCTAGGCAGAAATTCAACCCCATCATTAATGATGCCATCCACGAGGAGGTAGAAAAGCTATTAGAAAATGGCTCCACCAGGGAGTCGAAATACCCAAATGGATAGCCAACGTGGTGATGGTCAAAAATAAATATGGAAAATGGAGGATGCGCGTAGACTTCACAAACTTAAACAAAGCGTGCCCGAAAGATTCATTCCCGTTGCCACATATCGACCAACTCATCGACGCAACGAACGGGTACGAGCTGCTGAGTTTCCTAGACGCATACTCGGGCTATAACCAGATACTCATAGAAGAAGAGGACTAGGAGAAAACCACGTTCATCACCCATACAGGAACATATTGTTATAGGGTCATGCTGTTCGGGTTGAAGAACGCAGGAGCCACTTATCAAAGATTGGTCACAAGAATGTTCAAAGACCAACTTGGCAAGACCATGGAGGTATATATGGATGACATGCTGGTCAACTCCGTAAGGGAAGAAGACCATATCGACCACTTAAGGGAAGCTTTCGACATACTAAGACAGTATGGGATGAAACTAAACCCAAAGAAATGCGCATTTGGCGTAACCTCGGGAAAGTTTTTGGGTTTCTTAGTGTCATAACGAGGGATCGAAGTCAACTTGGACCAAATCAAGGCTATCGACAGGATACCCGAACAACTGACTACTAAGAAGCAGGTCCAAAGGTTGACTGGCCGAACCGCCGCCCTATCGAGATTTATCTCGCGGTCGTCCGATAGATTTCACAAATTTTTCGACGTACTCAAAAAGGATAACGACCTCGAATGGACGCCCGATTGCGTACAAGCACTACAAGAACTTAAGATGTACCTATTGTCACCGCCTCTGCTCTCACAGCTTGAACCCGGGGAACACCTCCTCGTCTAACTCGCCGTCTCCAAAGTAGCAGTAAGTGCGGTCCTGGTGGAAAAAAATAAAGGTACACAATCCCCTATTTATTACATTAGTAAAACACTTGTCGACAGCCGAAGACGAGATACCCACACCTCGAAAAACTGACCCTGGCACTGATCGTAGCTTCGAGGAAGCTTTGATCCTATTTCCAGTGCCACCCTATCTCGGTCGTTACCATTTTTCCTTTAAGAAGCATTTTACATAGACCCGAGTTGTGCCAAATGGTCCATCGAGCTAAGCGAGCACGACATAACATATCAGCCACGAACAACGATAAAGTCGCAAAACTCGCCGACTTCGTCACGTACTTTAGCGCAAAGATAATCCATGAGGTCAAGAAGGAAGCCGCTCAAGCTTCTCTTCAAACACAAGACCTCTAGGTCCGATACATCGACGGCGCATTCAATGCTTCTAGATCCGGACTGGGACT